ATCTAAATCTAGGAAAGTGCTAAATCTAGAATTATTCATTGAAAAGTGAAGTTCTTCAATTTTGGACTTGACCATGGCAGTGACTTACCCTCCCCGTCTACTTCTACTGTCTCCAGGGCAATACATAGAATCTTAACCTCATTGAACACAGCTGCAGCTCAGAAATATCAAAGTCCATCACCCCACTTTCCATCCCTTTAACCAGTGGTTAAATGGAGTTGATACAGATGGGGCAGATCCATGATGCATTCAAGCTGAAGCTTATACAATGCCAGGGGCCCTCTTTAAGATAAATAATACAAAATTACAAATGGAAAAGTGGTTGCAAGAGTGAATATTTATCATAAGAAAAAATCACTAAATTTTAAAAGTAGACAAAAACCACATTACAAAATTCACTAAAAATCATGACATTTTAATGAATGAATGAATTGTGCCTTTGTAATTCCTTTTTTCATAATTATTGGTTACATATGTTTGGCTGCATTCATTGCTTCTTTATTTAATCACGAATTTATAATATCATTTTTAAGAGATGACAGAGGGATAATATAATCGGATAACAGTCTTTCCTCTAACATGTTTAATCAAAAATGATTTTATTAAAAACTTATTGAAGTAAAACACAAAAGTGTGCCAACATAAAGGTCCTGCTTGATGACTTTTTACAGAATGAAATACCTGTGTAACCACCACCAAGATGAAGCCCTCAAAAAGCCCCCCTTTTGCCATCTCCCTGTTTACGGTCCTCATCACCAAAGGTCACCATCCTGACTTATAACCATGTTGTAAGTTTTCATGCTATAAATTTTTCATGTTGAACTTTCTATAAATGGAACCATTTGGCATGTAGGGTTTTTTTTTTTCTGTATGGATTCTTTTGCCCAATACTATGTCCATGAAATTCATCTTTTTTTGCATATAGAAATGTTAATAGTATATTTCCATTGCTATAGTGAAGCAATGTGTGAGAGTTTCAGTTGTTCAGCATCTTTGCCAACACTAGGTATTGTCAGTTATTTTGACTTTAGCTATTTTGGTGAGTATTCAGTGCTGTCATACTTTAGTCAAATTTGTATCACCTTGATAAGGTTAGCACTTTTTCATATATTTACTGGTCATTTGAATATCTTCTTTTGTGAAGTATCTATTCAAGTCTTTTGAACTTTTTTGTCTCTTTTGGCCTGTAATTTTTCTTATTGATTTGTATGCAAACAAATCCCTCATGGCCTGTAGCAGAAGTCTGAATTTTGTTTTTATATTAATAGAGTCAGAATTTTCTTTCACATTTACAACTTGTTATGGGTGATATATAGTGATATATAGTTAATTAAGAATAGTATCAAATTTGAGAATATACCTTTTTAAAGTCTTTTTTATGTTTAAGCTGTTAGATTTGGAAAACTTTTTCATAGGCTAGTTCTGGTCTTATAATTTCAAACATTGTTGTTTGTTTTTTTCTTTCCCCCACAACCCACGCATTTCTTGTGCTGGATGTCCCAGGACACATTCATACCATTATCTGACCTCTGACCCAGCACTTTTGCATCACGACTTTGAATAGAAGTGCACAGTAAGTGGTAGGAGTATTCTTGGAAGCTATTCCCACACTGGAATTGCTAGCAATAACTGTACGTGGAAGTAACTTCAAACTACATAAATACATCTCAATAATTCCAAACTAAATATTTTCCCCACTCAAGCTCCTCTTAGCTAGTTCCTAAGATTCTTGTATTCACTCCAAAACCACTTGATACAAGAGGTATGGTGAGGGAAGTTGGGGAGTAGGAGAGAGTAGTCCTAACCCATGGTTTCTCAATGGGATGATATCACTCAAGGATGCAAAAGTCAGTTAGTTCTTGGAGAGTGAAAAATTGTACTCTTTTTTTAAATATAGGAAGAACAAATATACACACAGTACATAAATATATAGTCCATGCGTAGTGTTAAAATTTCATGGGGAAGGACAATTAGGAAAAGTATGTCTAAAAAGGCTTGTTGGGGAGGCAGTAATTTTAAAAAATGTTGAGGAACACTATTCTAACCAATTGAGGTTAACTTGTCTTACTTTATAAATTTTACCAAGATATATGGCCATGTGAACCCATTGCTAAGGCTTGTATCAGGGGCTTGGGAAGGACCCAACCAAATGACAGACTCTGAAGCCAAAGCTTTATTAGATTCACAGTAAAACCACCACAGACGTACACTGCAGCAGGACTTGTGAACTCTAAGGTTACGTAGCTCTTCCCCAGCTATGAGGATTTTAACTACAGGTGAATATACAATATAAGCCATCAAATCAAAAATACCTGTAGTAATTTCTTTTCAGTGGCACTGCCCTTCGTTCCTGTCTTCAAATGCAGGCTGAAGGAAATACCTCAAAGGAATGAGTTAGAAGAGTGGGGAGAGAGGGAGTACTGAGCCGGAGGACAAGAATAGGGAGGCCATAGTCTAAGCTGAGACCACAGTCTATCAACCTGCCTGCAAGAACGTACTGCTGGCCAAGTGAGGCACATGTTTAATTATGAAGCTGCTCAAACATTTATGAAAATATAAAGGGCACATCAAGGCTACAAAAATTATATTACCCATGGTACTGAGCTTCCCCCAATCTGTATCATTGCATAAGCATCTCTTGTATCTCCCTCTAATGCCTTTTCCCCATAACATAATATTATTATTCCTCAAGACCTACGTCTGTTCCTCCTCATATCAATCTTGCCTTACTCTCCCATATGGTTCCTGGAGTAGTCATATTATTCAGTACTATAATTATTTTTTGGAAATTTCTTTCTTCCTGAATAGTCTATGAGTTCCTTGCAATAAAATTTTGATTATCATTCAGCTTTGTATCTTTAAACCAGGTGGAACAATGCTTGTATGAATTACTGGATATCAGGAGCAATTAGAACCTGCTACTATTGTGGGGCTTTGTGAGAAGAGGCAGGGAAGGAGTGCTTAGAGGGTATAGAGGAAACACCCTCTATTTTATAGTATTGAGGCTGCAGTTATGTATAAGAGCAGACATGACTGAAAACAAATAAGTATACACATATATGCATCAAGTTCCTATCCTGTTAATAGATCACAGGCACAGAATTTTCATTTATTCTCAGATTAAGAAAGAAAATTATATTGCCCTCTGCCTATTTTGTGTTTTATGAGTGATCGTGTATCGTTTTGATTGTATCAGGGATCTATAGCCAATCAGGTGGTCCCAGGACGTAATTCAATATAGAGACTACCAGAACTTGATGCTTGATTCTATTCCTGATATCTTGTTTAATTTTTCTCAAGGCCTTTCTTTTTTTGAGCTGTGAGATATATTTCTCATATATGGAAGAAAGAGCTGAACTATGAAGACAGAGAGAACTCCTACTTTAAAAGAAAGAAATGGGATAATTTTAATGATACAAAACCTTAAAAATATTTTAAGAGTATGCTCAATTTGCTTTAAATTGC